GGGGTCTCGCGCAGGCGCGTGGTGGTGGTGATTGGGGGGGGTGGCGGGGTGGAGGGAGAAGGGTCTCGCGCAGGCGCGCAGATGGCTGGCTGTTTAGCAATGGTGAGCTAGGGGATGGAGTGGCAGGCCTGGCAGAGGGCACTCACCCAGCGGCGCGGTCTCGGCGGCCTCTCCCACAGGGTCTTGACTTTCTTGAGGCTCGCCTGCTGGCTCAGAATCAGCCCTAGTTCAGACCCATCCCCTGTTTCCTCATCTTACGGAGTTGGCTAATGGAGGGGCTGAGAAGGCGGCCGGTGCCGATCCCAACCAATAAAAGCTCTCTGTGTGCCGCCAGCCCCGCCCTCACGCGTGGTGCCACTTTTGCTGTTGGCTGAGCCTGAGTCAGGAGGTGGGTGAAGGCTGGTATTGCCCAAGTTGGTGGGCGTTTTCGGCCCGAGGCCAACCTGCAGCGAGTCTTGGCTTCAATTTCCCTATCCCCTTATCAGTCAGTCATATCATAAATAGGGTATTCGTCCTTCTGATCTGCTGTTGAAGCAACACTGTGCCACGTGCTCGCATCTTTGCCCTAATTTTCTAAGAGCAATTAATCAGTTCTCAGACTAACCTTCAATTCTAATGCCTGAATGCACAACGAAACTTAATACTAACATCACATCTTGTATACTATGCCTTCACCTTCTCTACCTCAGCGCTCAGAACTTCTCAGTGATCATCCTCACATCTCCTGACTTGAAGTCAGAAGAACCAATCAAAACGCAGGCCCCTTAGCCTTGCTGCCCAGTTGGCATGGAGACTATTTCCCTGTGCCAACTCTAAAGAACCAACCAATCAAAACTCTTTCACTCTAAGCCACTGGGCACCCCGACCAAATTCGGAACCCAGACCTATCCCAGACCTTGTGTCTAATTACAACTTACAACCCTCAGTGCTAAGGACCAGTATGCATCAACTCTTACTTTCCCTCCTCTCTGCCCGACTCAGAGCAACAAGTCAGAATGGGGATCCTTCAGTTTCCCAGCCAATTAGTATCAGGCCTTCTCCACATTCAACTATCCAATCTGTCCTGGCCCCACTCAAATTAAGCAGTGCCATCCTGGGGCTCATCTCCAATCGTGAATAATAAATTAGCATGACCCAACCACAGTGTGCTCCCTCTTCATGGTTTCTAGCTTCCAAATCTTTATCCATGCTGTGCCCCCTTCCTCACTCACTTCTATTTCCCACTGAACAGTGAAGAAAGAGCCTTTTGTATATTTCCTACTTTTATTTGGCAATAATAAACTGTATATAAAAAGGGAGAAAGAAGGCAGGGAGGCCCTGGATCTCCCCATCTCTGCTTCCCCCAATCATCCACCACCCCTAGGCCCCAGCAGGGACCATCCCTTCCTGCCTTGTGGTAGGGTGGGGATTGACAGGGATGGAAAATGGTGTGTGTGTGTGCACGCATGTATGTGTAGGAGAGTTGGAGCAAGGATGGAGAGGGGTCAAGAATTAGAGGGCCTTCCCTCATCCTCCATCAGAGCTGGCACCCTGAGGAGGGATCTGGAGGGAGTTGTGAGGGTCCACACATGTGTCTCAGCCTATGAGACGGTAGAAGATCCAGCATCCAAAAGTGACCCAGTGACTGGCCCAGCTGAGCTCTGACCATTTGTGGACAGTGTATGCCATGCCATAGCCCTGTGGAAGAGAAAGAAGTGATGGTCCCACTCAGCAAGAACAAAGAAGTGCTCAGGAAAATCCATCTTTTGCTCATTTCTGTGACTCCATGGTAACCCTAGGTAAGGCCCCAAAGATACTGGGTACATATAAAAGGTAAGCAGATTTAATGTTTTTTTTTATTTTGTGTTTTCTTCTTTAAAAATCATTTAAAAAATAAGACAAGACAATCCCACCCTCTGACCTGTACTCTGTACTCTGCCTTATAAATAAAGAGCTCCTAGAAATTGATTTTTTTTAAGCTGAGTCATCCTGCTTCCTGTTGGCAGCTCAGCGGCAGCTCAGCTCGGGCCAAGAATCCAACCAGCAACCCTGTTGCTCAGAGCTCACACTCTTGAGTGAGTCCTTTACCAACTGAGCCACTCGCCCGGCCTTAGAAATTGATTTTTAAAAAAGACAAAAATTGGCAAAGGAGGTGAGGGGCCATTCTCTGTAAAGGAAAAAAAACACACCCAAATAGCTTTTAAATGTATGGCCTCACTCATAATCTTCCTTCTCTCAAACTGGCAAACACATCCAGGAAGTCTGAGGCACTCAGTGGGGTGACAGGCACATTCACATACTACTGGTGGAAGGGCAAAAAAGGTAATTTCTCCATTTTGACTATCAAGAATGGATCCTACAGCTCTGTCTGCACCTGTGTATATCCACAGGGGGACGAGGGTATTACTTGCTGCAGCGTCATTTTTAATAGGAAAGGATGGGAAATCACCTGGGTGTCCCCTGATAAGGAACAAACTACATTGTGTCATATCCTCACAATGGAAAAAATGAATTAGGACACTCTGTACTAATGTGGAAGATTTTCAAGGATTATTATGTGAAAAAAGCAACATGTGGAACAGTGTCATTCATGAGTTACGTTTAGGGTAAAAACCAGGAGGAGGGAATTAAAATACATCTTTATATTTGCTTATTATGCTTACATTTTAGAAGGATATTTTAATCAAATGAATGAAAGTGGTTACCTGAAGATGGCAGTGGGTAGATGGTAGGAGCAAGACTTTCCCCCGAATATCTTCAATATAGTTTTGTTTTTGAATCATGGGATATACATTAACTGTTTTTAAATGTTTTAATTAAATAAGATAAAAATTTATTTAAAAAGTAGCAAAACCCAGATTTTGCACATTCAACCTGAATAAAAATTTAAAATTGTTTTTAATGATGAAAATAATATAAAATAGTTTTATTTTTAATTAAAAAATTTAAAAGAGAAGCATAAGCCTAGATCCTGTAAGAGTCATAAGAATACATATTTTAAAAATTGTTTTTCACTTGAAAAGGAGTAAAATCTGGAATGCACATATTTCACATGAATAAAAGTAGTATATACATTTTAATATACATTTTAAAGTAGAATCCAGAATTTACACACTCAACCTGAATAAAAATGTTTTTAAAAAAATTAAATAAGGAAAAAACCTTGCAAATTCTACCTAAACAAAAATATGATGAAATGATTAATTAAAAAAAAGTAAAACCTGGATTTTGCACTCCATCTCTATAAAATAAATTTTATAAGTAAAATATTTTGCACACTTCACCCAAATAAAAGACCCAACAATGTGAATCAACCAGCGGGACAATGGGGAAGGACAGAGGAGTACTGGCTGCACAAACTAGAGACATACAACACAGGTCCTTATGCCTTAGCTCCCCACTCTGTCCTCATGTTTCCCATGAGCAGGTGGCACATCCCTGGGTATCCCCAGCCCAGGACCCCACCTCACCTGCTCCTCTGTGGTATCGTCCACGTCGACATCGAACAGGGAGCCCAGGTAGGCCAGGTGGAAGACGGCCAGGGCCCCAAAAAGCAGGTTTAAGGTTCGCACCCTTAGGCCCTGCGGGGGACAGATGGATATACTTGCTAGCTGGACCTACTCGCTGTCTCCCAGTCTCACCTGGGCAGGGGAGCCCAGGGAGACACACCAAGTACAGTGGGTCCCAGAAATGAGGTTGTCCAAGGCACCCCCCGGGGTAGAAAAGAGATGGTTCAGATCCTCTTATGGGAGCTCAAGGGTTATCCAGGGATGAGGGCACTGTTAGCATTGAGGGCATTCAGGTTGGGAGAGATGCAAATATTAAGGCAGAGGGGGAAGACTAGTGGGGCTGAGTTGGGGGTTTCTGGTGATAAACATCAGTTGTCAGATGGGAGGCAAACCTGAGGTTTTTTGTACTTCTTATTGCAAACAAAATACAAATAAACAAACAAAAGCATGGTCTACAGGGCCCACCGCCCTCCCCCTTGCTCACTCTGCTCAAGCCACTCTGGCCTCCTTGCTGTTCCTCAAATATTCCAGGCCCTCTCCCATCTCAGGGCCTTTATACTGGTTCTTACCTTTGCCTGGAATGCTTCCAACCCTTAACTCCTTCAGGTAAAGAACTCGAAAGGTACCTCCCTGTTTAAAATTGAATCCACTCACCCCCTCATACTTCCCCTTCCCCTTCCCTTATATTCCTCCTTGGCACTAATCACAATCTAACAAATTATTATACTTTACTGACTTAGTTTTTATTTACTGTCTCACCTGTTAAAATGTTTGTCCCAGAGGGCTGGGACTTTGTTCTCTTTTGTTCACCACTGTGTCTCCAGCACCTGAAACAGTGCCTGGTACCAGCAGGTGCTCAATAAGTGTTTACTGGGAACATGAATGCCAGGTGTGTATACAACAGGTACTTGATAAATGTTTGTTAGAGAGATGGATGCCAGTGAATAGAGGTGAGGTTACAGGGGTGGCTCAGGCACTACAAGAGGAAGCTGGGCACCCTGAGACAGATATAAGATGGAGACAGAATAACATATTTGAGGGTGAGTGTAGGGCACGAGGTTACCCAGGCTGAACCCTCACCAAACGATGCTGGTGTGAACAGTCTGGTGGGCACTGTTTTGACAAGACGCAGGCACTGAGGATCCGAGCCAGGCGCTTCCGGAGGACTGGGGCAGATGTAGGGAGGTAAGGGGGTCAGGTTAGCTTCAGGAGACAGTGGGTCCAGCCCCCCCAGCAACCTTCCATCCAGTCTGCTGAACTGGGCTCTCCACTCACCGTGCTCCACATAAGTGATAAACGCCAGGGACAGCAGCACTGCTGCCAGATGGAAGCTGAAACCCTGGGGTGCAGGAGGCAATGAGGTAAGTGAAGAGGAGGCCTTGGCTACACCCACCCGGCTTCCTCCCTGATCCCGTTCCACCCTGCTCACATGCAGGAGGGCGCTGGCTGCATAGGTGACCAGCACAGCCGAGAAGGTTCCCAGGCGGAGAGCATTCTTGAAAACATCTGGAGGGGAGAGATGTGGGTTAAGAGTCCCAAGATTTCCCTCTGCCCTTGCTTGGGGGAAACAGGGCAGGGTGAGGATACCCACAACCTGTAGGAACCCCCAGGATGAAGTCTTTTTTTTATTAGTTTCAGGAGTACAAAACAGCATAGTGATTAGACATTTACACACCTCACAATGTGATAACCCCAACAAGTCTACTACCCATCTCTGACACTGTACATAGCTGTGGACAAAGTCTTTATAATGGCCTCAAACTTCATATGTCTAA